GAGCATCTCTCTTATGAGGAAAGGCTGAGGGGGCTGGGTCTCTTTAGCTTGGAGAAGAGGAGACTGAGGGGGACCTCATTAATGTTTATAAATATGTAAAGGGTGACTGTCATGAGGATGGAGCCAGGCTCTTCTCAGTGGCATCCAATGATAGGACAAGGGGAAATGGATATAAGCTGGAACATTGGAAGTTCCGCTTAAACACAGAATCATAGAATCATAGAATGGTTTGGGTTGGAAGGGACCTTAAAGATCATCTAGTTCCAACCCCCCTGCCATGGGCAGGGAAATCCACCACTACACCAGGTTGCCCAAAGCCTCATCCAACCTGGCCTTGAACACTTCCAGGGATGGGGCATCCACAACTTCTCTGGGCAACCTGTTCCAATGCCTCACCACCCTCAATGTAAAAAATTTCTTCCTCATATCTAATCAAAATCTCCCCTCTTTCAGTTTAAGTCCATTGCCCCTTGTCTTATCACTACACGTCCATGAGGAAGAACTTGTCACAGTAAGGGTAACAACACTGGAAGAGGCTGCCCAGAGAGGTTGTGGAGTCTCCTTCTCTGGAGATGTTCAAAACCCACCTGGATGCGTTCTTGTGTGATCTGATCTAGATGGTCCTGCTCTGGCAGGGGGATTGAACTAGATGTTCCTTTGAGGTCCCTTCCAATCCCTAACATTCTGTGATTCTGTGACTCTCCACAGAGAAACTATCAAAGTCGTATTATGTGGACACCAGCTCGTCTGAGGTAGATTATGGAAACCACTCAGATTTACAGCTAAGCCAAAGTGAATATAACAATGAGAGCTCAGTGTTGAACAATGAAGATGGACACAGGGCTTTATGTTCTGAAAACGTCTTTAGAAGGGATGCTCTGATTTCATTTTGAATGTGTTGAATTGTCTGGTCTAAGACATGACATGGTATCTCCAGAATACCATCACAAGATAAAAAGAATAATGGAAGTTTAAACTGTACCCAGTGTAAAAATTATGTTGAGCTCTCCAGAAAAAGAGTAAGTCTGTGCAAATAACTAACTGTCTTCTCTCACTCACAATGAATTGGTTCCCTGGTTTGTTTATCATGGTTTGTGTTTCATTGTGTTTCATCGAGCAGGTCCAGAGGACGGCCACGAAGGTTATCGGGGGCCTGTAAGGACAGGTTGAGAGAGTTGGGGTTGTTTAGCCTAAAGAAGAGAAGGGTCCTGGGAGACCCTATAGCAGCCTTTCAGTACTTAAAGGAGGCCTACAGGAAAGATGGACAAGGACTCTTTATCAGGGACTGTAGTGATAGGACGAGGGGTAACAGTTTTAAACTGAAAGAGAGTAGATTTGGATTAGATATTATGATGGCAAGACAGTGGAACAGGTTTCCCAGAGAAATTATGGCTGCCCCATCCCTGAAAGCGTTCAAGGCCGGGTTGGATGGGGCTTTGAGCAACCTGATCTAGTGGATGGTGTTCCTGCCTATAGCAGGGGAGTTGGACCAGATGGTCTTTAAGATCCCTTCCAACCCAAACCATTCTATGATTCTATGATTTCAACAGGGTTATTTTAAAAACCTTTAAACTTCTGTGCTGAATTAGCATCAAATGTTCGCATGGCTACACAAAGATGGGGAGATTGCAGAAAGTGTCTGTGCATCTTCTGCTAGTGAATAGCCCAAACAATGGCGGCCAACAAACACTGCTTATAGCTAAGGAAACTGCTCCTTCCTTTACCCCTGGCTGTCCCTAGACAAGGGCTGGGATAAAAAAACAAAGTAGGCAGGTTCTCCAGCCACAAATCCCACTCGATTCTTGAGTCTGCTGTGCTAAAGCTGTATGCTGTATGCTTCAGATGCAAATTAGTACATCTCTCTCCCTGTCAAAAAAGGAACATCTGACCCCAGTGCAAGGAGATAGCTGGACTCCACAGTGTAATTCTTTAAGTCAAATCTTACCATAGTTCCTCAGCCTGGATAGTAATTTACTAGGAATATGGCAATAAAACGATAATAAAAGGGAAAGACACACTTTCTCCTTAGAAAGTGCACAAATGAGTCTGCAATTGAAAACTAGTCACAGAAACACGCTGAGTCTCTCTGTTGTTATGCTGAACACATAATTTCACTAAGTGGCATCTGCTTCCCAGCTGAGCTGGGAAATATCTTTTTTTTTAAAAGGTTTTTTAAAATATCATTCTCCTATTCGAAAAAGTGCAACTGTGTCTTTCATAAAAGCTCTAGAATTATTATTTGGAATACGATTATTGTGCATACTAAATAGTGTTTTTAAATGGATTTTAGATACACAGGAAGTTACAACTATGGTAGCTACAGCAACCAGCATCCCCATCCAATGCAGAGTCAGTATCCATCCTTACCACATGATACTGCTATTTCTGGACCACTTCACTACTCAGCTTACCATAGAAGCTCTTCGCAGGTAAGTTGGATTCATTACTTGACAATGCTTGCTGCAATATTTTAAGTAAAGTTGTGCTTGTAAATTTACCAGCATATTAGCTGTCTGAATCAACTGATGATCTCTAATTTGTTTCTTTTCTAATATTACCTAGATATCTTTTCATTTTGGTGGAGAATCTTTTATCAGAAGTAGATTTAGATTGTGAATTTAAAGTACCAACTCTAAAATCCAGCAATCTGAATCATAGAAAGTGATTCTGTGTAAAAGAGTGGCTAAACCAAAAACTAATATAATGGGTTGTATGTTTCTTAGGTGTTGGGAACAGGAAGAGATTCCTAATGGGAAATAAAAGTGTTTTCATACTGTCAAAAGAAGATGCAGAGGCCACAGTGAATTCTTCTGGGGCCTCTGCTTTTGAGAATACATATGTTTAGGAATTTGCCAAAATTGTGAGTTCTGAATATAGTTTGAACAACTTCAGGAAGCCACTGCAAAGAGGTTCTGTTTAATCTATGTTATACTCTCTTACTATAGTGCTGAGAAATTATGTCAGTAACTGTTTCAGGACTATTTCACTTCAAAAAACTGAGCCAGTAGGAACCAGCACAGATTAAGTGTGAAGATGATATTTGGCAACAGTTCAGAAGTAGTGCCACTGTAGGAGGGCTTTAGCATATCATGCAACTGGTGCTTCCCTAGTGTAGGAAGCTGCTCTCTGGGCTCTCTGCTGGAAGATTTGCAAAAGGCAGGTACAGGCAGGAGGTGATGGCATTGGGGTATTCCACCCACATGGCATCTCTTATGTTTTATCTACTGGAAATTTATACAAGTATATTAGGGACATCCATGCTTAACTGTCATCACTGAACTGGAACAGTTTCATACCAGATGCAAAGATGTGAATTTGATAGCACTTTGGACTAGAACACATGAAACCTGCATCTCATTCTGGTCTTTGGCATCAGGTGATCTCAGGGTAGTAATTTCTCTTTTTTATGCTTCATTTCCCTAGCTGTAAGATAAGAATAATGGTATTGATCTCCTTAAAGCTTTTTGAGATCTGCTAGGAAGATTGTCCTAAACAAATCCAATATGCTCATTTGGACCAGCTCAACAATGAGTCCCTAGCTTATGGAAAGAACAAGTCTACAACTTCTTGCTCATTTGTGTAGCACCTGGTCCATCAGACTACAGGAGGTGTCAGGGTTTGTTTGAGGGTTGTTGCAGCTGCTGTATCTTCAACAGGAACAACGTTTGAATACAGTATCCTGTGATAGGTTTGTATTCATTGATTTTTCAGTATAGGGCTTATCCTGCTACCTCGAGATTTTTTCCAGAATGCATCACTTTTTGACCTAAAATTGGCTCACCAGTTTTCTTTACTGTCTCTTGTCTTTTTACTGCAGAAAACCCACCTGAGTGCTGGTTCTGAAATGGTCTGTAAGGCCATGAATCTGTGTGTAAAACAGAGAATTGGGCTTTTACTGTTTAGAAATGTTATCACCCACACAAGGAGTTTCTTTCTACCCTTTGACAACTGTCTGTCACACTCACATAGGCAGCACAAGTTAAACAAGAAATAAATAAAGCAAAGCAAGATCAACACGTTTTCAGTTTACTCATGTTCTGGTTAACATGTTAGATGGAAATAGTAACATACATTAAAATAATGCAAATATTTTTCATACTGTAGTAGACTGTCTCTACAAGCGCAGATGTCAGATCATTTCTTCCTCTCTTGCTAGCCCTTGAACTGTTCTGATCATACATGAAGAACAGCTACACTTAAATGATCACGCTTGAGAGCAAAATGATTTCCACTTGTATTTAGCATTTTCTTCATCATGCTGCTTGTAAACTGAGATGGAATCTCACAGTAGGACACAGCTAACAAAACCCAATCAAGGCGCTCATTCTATATTGAAAGGAGGTACAAACCGAATCCTTACTTTCAAGAATAATCTAAAAGTCTTGAACAGTTAATATAGAAATTGCTGACCTTCTTTTTAAAGCTGAGTGAGCTTCTGTAAAGTGCCTACCCTGATGATAAATCCTTTCTTAGCTACTTTTAACCAAAAAAGTTTGTAAGATGTCCCTAATAAGATGTTAGGGAACTACTCTCTTTCTAACAGACTTTCTGAGAGGAATATGATGCAAGGAATTGCAACAGGCCTCATGACATTGCAAAATCAAAATATAGGAAGACAAATTTGCAATGAATATATACAGCTGCCACTATACTAAAACCAGAGGAGATGCAATGTGTATGACTGTGATAATATAATCTGTTGAGAAGAGGAAGCATTGACCATAACTCTTCAAAAGAACTCTTTGTTATAATCTACATTCAGTCCAAATAGAAATCTGGCTCAAATTTAGCTAATATTCTATCATACTCTTTAGGATAGTGTCTAGGGATTAACTAATAAGAAAAAAAATAATCTGTGTGTGGGGTAAATTCTCCTCTACAAACATAGATTCAGAGAGAGACCTTGTCCCAGACAGCGGTCTGAGCTGAAACACGCGACATGTAATTGAGGTGGGGTTTAGGCTGCATTTAATAAATTAATATTAAATTAGTATTTTGGTCTCGAAGAGTACTATGTCCAACCTCTTTCTGTGGAAGAGAGCAATATAATACAGGTTTTATCAGGTCAGTTATTTTGAAACTATTTTCCACCTCAGAGAAATGTTCCTAAAGAAAAACAGTTGTGCTTGATTTTGTGTTCATTTGTTTAGTAGAACTTTAAGATGGATGATTTCACAGATATGGTTTACAAACCACCACCAAAAAAAACAGTGGAATTGGAGCAAAAGGAATAGAGGCAGTAACTTTTATTTGGTGCAAGTGCGTAACTGAACAGCTGGAAAAGGAGAAGGGAATGAATGACCCTTTAAATCGCATTTGCCAACATGTAGTATGTTGATTCCAACCTGACAATACATTGTATTAATTTTAGGATATCTACTGTGATTTTGTCATTGCAATCCTCACAGTAGGGCTGTTCTGGGAAGAAGTCTTACAGCTGTAGATCTTGTACTATGTACAGCTCTTGAAAAGTGCAGGTGGGGTTCCCAAGCCAAGCCTGACTCACCTGACCAGTGGCAAGTCCATGTTGGCGGTAGTTGCTAAGGTTGATACCGCTGAAGCACCATGTGTCACAGCTGCATGCTCACTCACACCTTGTCCCGTAACAGACTGGTAAGAGTGCTTGAGGTTATTGTTATCTCCCATCTCTGAGACAGTCTTGGAGCTTACCTTAGCTCACAGAGGAATGTGATAAATGTCTTGTGACTTTAGGCTAAATAGAAATTTTGAGAAGTAGCTCATAGTATCATAAAGATCAGTGGCTCTCAGACAGACAAGAAGGCAAAAAAAATGGACTCATAGTATCATAAAGATCAGTGGCTCTCAGATGGACAAGAAGGCAAAAAAAATGGATGAAGTGGCATGTAAAAAACTTTATAGGGGAGTAAACGTTATGCTGAAACATAAACATCTGCAGCTACTAACCCAGCACAAACTTTATAGGGGAGTAAACGTTATGCTGAAGTAACATCTGCAGCTACTAACCCAGCATAAGCCTAAAACTGGCTCTTTCTGGCAGTATAGGCTGACTAATTCCCACTGATGGTGAAGAGTCTTTTCATTGACAGGAACAGTCTGTTCAAACCTTGGTCTTAATCCGAATATTTTTTTTTCTTTCATTAGCATCTGTGAATAGTTCTCAGAACAGTTGCTTCCTTGTAACGCCAGGCCTGATTGCTCATTTCTTGACTTGGCTTACTGGCCAGGAGCCTGGCACACAACTAAAGAAAAATTATCTACAGATTGATTTGTTACTACCTAATTCTCTAAGCCATAGTGCAGAAGTGTATACAATCCTATGATGCTGCTCCATCATCATATTGAAGGGGACTGTGTAGTGTGTGTACATAAACATGATATCTATACTGACACTATGTTTGGTCAGTTCTCTGCCTTTCCAGTTTTGGGTACCAGATGCCAGGGTAGAACATAGACAACAACTCTGTCTAAAAGCCTCTGAGCATTCTTATCAACCTATGTGGAGTTTAGCAGAGAGGTACCCCCTTCAAAGGTAACCCCTTCACGATGTCACCACCTAATCCACCTCCACAATGTACACTTTACTGGCTTTTAATCACAGCTTTTGTCTGCAAGTTTCACCCTGTCTGGGCAGGTTCTGATCCTCTTTCAGGCTATCCAGAAATATTTCAATTTGTATCATTCCACCTCTTCCTTAAACAGAAAGTAATTTTCAATTTGTATCATTCCACCTCTTCCTTAAGAGGTGCACCTCATGCTGCAGTAATTTTTCTTTGCAAATCACAAGGATAACACTTTTAGTAGGAAGAGTAATTAGAGAAATCTGCAGCAGCATATATTTTTATATTTTAATATATCTGGTAACATATAAAGATGCACATCATATGAATGTGCATCACCGTACATGCTGTACAAAACCATGTGCCTTAGCATGATTCCCAGGAGAATATGTGTAAATACTCTAATGCATGGCTGTAGTGAATCATATTGTAGATCAGTTTATCCAGGTCCTGTCTCCAGCAATGGCCAGAAACAAACGGGTAGAAGAAAAGTCTCAGAAAGTCTTTCACCAGCATAGCTGCACTGTCTTTGGCAAGAGATGACTTAGTGACATCCTGAGTAGGAAGCAGCAGCTGGACTGTTGTATTTTGTAGCAAACCACTCTCCATTACCCTGTCTTTGAGCTTTTTAGTTCTTTTAGCTTCTTTGTACTTACAGGTTTAGGGATGTGTTGCGTGAAACATGTATTCTCTTGCTAGTTTTAAGTCTATTATCTCACAATTGCATTGGGTGCCCTGTGGTTTTTGCGTGATGTGGAATAGGGAATATTCATTCCCCTATTTATCTACTCTTGCCATTCAAGATACTATAGATTTGCATCATTCCTCTCATCTCCTTCCTGACATCTTTTTTCCAAATTTAAGAGTCATCATCTGTTTGGTTTCTTTTG